ATTTCAAAATGCGATAGAAAGCAAAATACGGGAAATAAAATCATTTATGATCATGTCTTCGACTTCACTTCAAATGTTGTCACACACATTACGAGCGCTTGGAAGTCGTGAGAAAATCTGTATTAGTTTAGTGAAGCGTACCCGACGATTTAAACAGCATCAAAATCAATTTCACGTGTATTAATTAAAGTTTTTTAAAAATTCGATTAAGATATGAAAGAAAATGGCCAGATTCCACTGGCACACGGCGTACCAAATGTCGCTTCGTTTGGCCCAAGCGCTGGCTCGAAAGGGCTCTAAACGTGATGGACACACAAGTTTTACTATTAATGTACTATGAGGATGCGGCGCCCTCCCACAGTCTTGACGCCGCCTCGCACTGTCCTGCCCATCCTCTCCCAACTTCGTCCCACCCTGTTCCTGCCCGCTCTGACCTGCCTGCCCTGCTCTGCCCGCCTTGCAACTTGTCTTTCTACCGCTTTTTCCTGCTCCATCCTTTTACTCCTTGGAGTGCACTACCCCACTCCCCCCTCCCCGAGACAGGCAGGCACTTGCTGCGCATTGCGTAGCATGAGCAAAGCGTTGACACAGGCGTATGTAAAAATGCTCGCGCGCCTACAAGAAATGTCCAAGCGCTGCTCTCGGGCGAGATTACCACCTGTAATTATAAGGTAGTCGCTGCCATTACAAGCCTCCTCCATTGTAGTTAGAAGGTCGAAGACCTCTTCTTTAATTACTGAAGCCTCTGCGGCCTGTGGCTGCGGCTGAGACGGCTGGAGGCAGTGGCAAGCCTGCGCGCGGCGAGTCGAAGAGCCAGTCGCTACTGTCGCTGCGAACGTACCCCCCTCTCCTCATCTCTCTCTCTCCCTCTCGCTCTTCCGCCCTTCGCTCGGCGCTGGAAGGGGAGGAATTGCGCAATGCGCGAGTAGATCACGTTTTGATGAGCGCGTGAAGCCGACTGGGCGAGGAAAACACGTTTCAATGGGCTTCGCACATAAGCAGAGATTCTCGACTCGTTGGCAACTTTTTTTTCGTGTTTATTCAGGCGATACTTTTCAAATGGTCTTTCGATTGCAATAACATATTTCTTGCCTTATAAGATACTTTTTAACACAAATATCTCTCAAATTTTACGTGTTATTTTTCAGCCTCGGCAGGCTCAACAACATTATTTGATTATTGTTTTGGCCTATGCAAAGACATATTTCCATTATTTTCTGATTGCACTTCAGTTATCCAGTTTATATTCAATGCTTTAAAATCATGTATTATATTATCTATTCTATTGTTTTTGGTCTCCCCGATTGTCTAATTACTATAAAGTACCCTATGTATTTCTTTGCCAACTTATCTTACATTCTATAAAGTTGTCCAAACCAGCTTAATCTGAAAGCTCTAATTTGCTTACAATATGTTTGTGGTAAATTATCCAGCTCTAATGTACAAGTTATTCTCCAAATACCATTTGGACTTTTTCTGACAATGAGACAAAGATTTTATATAAAATCATTAACATTATACAAGTTTCAAACTAAAATTACAATCATACCATGAAATAAAGATATTGTATTTGACTAAATTCACCCAATACCGAAGCAAAAGTATGTTCATAGTTTCATACATTTATTGAAAAATAAAACTACTTTTCCTTCATCTATTATATGAGTAACATAATTTTTGGTAAGAACGTAATGTAACAATATTCTACACCTTTTTCCAAGTCCACCATTTTCTAAATAGTGCGTTATAATTATCGTACAGAGTAGAATTATAGGTAAACGCTTTCAATGCCCCAGTGAGCGACATCCCTGTACCTTACCGTACATCATCAAAAAGTGATCATCACCACCTTAGTAAGAAAACGTCTTCAAGTATTATTGCCATTTTTTAGTAAATACTAATTCCATCCTATCAGGCCTATTAAAACCTTCTTTGTTCATCTAGTTTTTAGTCGCCGTTTCAAACAGATGTCGGTCTCGTATTTAGTTTTGTTGTTGATTTGGCTGCATAGAAGGTTTGCAATAAGGTGATTCCATTTTCTGATAGCTGACAGTTACGAATACTCTAACCTTCCAAAGGACTTTTTCTCATTTACTTTCCTTTAAAAATTAATTTTAGTAACTGAAATCTTACGCTGCCCATAGTATGTCCTAGATTCTATATTTTTCTTCACTCTAAGCGTACGTATTTTTAATTTTGCATTCGATTAAGATCATCGGCACTTGGAAATATTAAAACCCAAGTAAAGCGTAAGGCACAAAGGTGTATTTAAAGACCCTATTTCTCCAAATTTTGCCTCCAGTTGAATTTCTGGATCTACACAATAAAATGGAGAACACGTAACGAAGAATGAAATTAGTTTAGTATAAATTAATTCGAAATATTAAATAAAATGTTTTAATCCAAACTACTTATGAACATCAATATATTTTATCTTAACATTTTATGAAAACAAATAAAAATTCTTCACCTTACCATGTATTAATCATTCCGTTTGAAAACCATATAATCTTATGTCACCTAATTCAATTCCCACAGTAAGCTTACCACTCCCACGACGAAAAAGATACAAAATAAGGGCAAGAAAGTCAACAAGGACAGCCTTCGCCATGGCTCCAGCACTTCCCCTCGCGAAAAACCGCGCCGCACCTGCGCCTGCCGCGTTCTTTGGCTGACGTGACTCACGCCCAGCGCCCCGCGCACCCTCCGCTGCCAGCCTTGGATTCCCTCTCCCTCGCCTTGAGCGCTCTCCCAGCCCTCTCCCAGCCCGGCTCTAGGAACACTCCGGCGCGGAAGGGGAGGCGGGCTGGATATGCCAATTCCTTTCAGCTGCAACGCTCGGCGGCTCGTTTCATTTAGAGAGCGTAATGAATTTAATTTGAGCGTGAAAGTAAACTAATGTTGTTCACGTGGGAGCTAGCATTTCTAGTTTTCACTCGAGTTAACTGAGTAGACCTGCTTTAAGACCTTCACTTAGACCGTTCACAAATGACAAGGAATTTCCGGAAACAATTTTTAATCGACTTGAAGATTTATATTCGAAAGTGGTAAAAAGTTGTACACTCAAGGATTTGTCTGTCAGGCAAATAAGATACAAAATAAAATATCACAAAGATGTGGGAATGAAAGTGAGAAAAACAAAAGGAAGCGAGAGAAAATTAAAACAACAAACGAATAAGGACAAACAGCACCGTACATGCATAATCACGAATCAAATGTACTGCACAGTTTTCTAAGTATCATCAGCTGTGAATATGTGAGAACAAGATGAGAGAAGAATGGATGAATTCGAAAAGAAGAGAGGGGTTCTGTGGTAAAAGAAGTCATTCCGTTTAGTAATGGGTTCTCACGTTTTCAGACATCTACGCAACCGTCGTTTACTGACCATATATCCACACTCTAATTCCATACTTAGTGTGAGAAGATTCTAATACAGGTACTGATGAATATAAGATATTTATCCGGAAAAAATATATCTTTGTGGATTTCGTCTTTGGGAAGAATGAACGATGAACATTACAAAATATTGCACAATACATAATTTACAATAAAAAACAAGATTTTTTCAATTGGTGAAACTTGAACCAACAATCGTATCAATTTTATTAGTTGTATAGAATATGAGAATTGCTCAATATAAAAAAATCATGTGATTCGAACAATATTTTCTTCGTTTTGGCAGATTGCCTTTATATGCTGTTTACTTACGTGTTTGGAGTATATTAAATTACTCATTATTATATTCAATGTAATAAACATTTCTCTTATAGATAAAATCGCTCATTATATCTGTGTAATAAAAAGTACTGCGAGATCAATATAATTCCATTAATCATATTGACATACAGTGAGAAATATGTCAAAATGTTAAAAGGATAATCGACTTAGGTAAACTGTATATTAAATTCCAAGCTAAATGATCATTAAGTGCTCGTTGGTAATTATTAACTTGTGCCATAGCGCTTGTCGCATAATGGTCTGGTCACATCATGGCTCCTTGTCACAACTATGAACCAGTATCCATTTTTTTTACCTCGACAAAATGGAATCCGAAAATAATTTGTCTAGAGCTAATGTACATGGAATGTGCAAGGAAAAGACATGTTTCTTTTCACGAATGGATCAACACTGAATAGGGTTGATCCAAACCTCAATCCGGACATTACGCTTCACCATCCGGGGGCAGTCGCGCGGGGGAGGCGTTGCTCCTCACGAAAGGACGGCTGCAGTCTCCAAACCCCTTCCGTCCGCAACCCGCACGAATTACTGTCGCGTCCGCGGGAGCAGGCGCGCCACGCACGAGTGCCCGCCCCACCACGCCCACCCCGTCGTCACCGCCT